CCTTCAGAAACCATTCTAATATGCTGATTTATTATCAGTGCTGGAAACTGTTGTGCTGCTTAATATTTATTTGGAACCCGTGATACTTTTCAGGATTCTTTGATGAATAAAAAGTTTAAAAGAACAGCATTTGTTTAAAATAGAAACCTTTTCTAACAATTAAAGTCTTTACCATCACTTTTTATCAATTTAACACATCCTTGCTGAATAAAAATGTTAAAGGTGGGGTAAGTTATTTCTGGTAGCCAATGTTGATATTTCAAATCACCAAAACAAACACGCCCTTACCCCAAAAGGGTCTTGCCCCTATTTTGATAGCTCCGCCCCACACATGTACGCAACACAGGCAACGATTAGTTCTGTGAAACAAAGCAAAACCAATGTTATACTAGCGACTAGCGGAGCGACAAAATACTATAGAACTCATTTTAATCAGTGATGCTGTCTACACTGGACGCGGCGCGACACGACAAATCCCCGACAGGAAACTGCTGCCGCGTTCTATTTATGACGTATTGACACAAATTTCAAATGATTTTCAACGGTCTCTTTGTCGCTCGCGTCCAGTATACTAGACAGACTTTAGTTGTTGCGGCGCAGACACGGTGTTACTCACCTATCGAGAAGAAACAAAGCAACCTCGGCGTCCGATCGCAGGCCTTCCGCTCTTTGAGTTCTCTCCAGCGCTGGAAAGCTGATCCGATATTTACACGGGTCCTACTTCTTGCCTTAAGCCTTCTTTTGTCGACTAGCGGAGCGACAAAATACTATAGAACTCATTTTAATCAGTGATGCTGTCTACACTGGACGCGGCGCGACACGACAAATCCCCGACAGAAAACTGCTGCTGCATTCTATTTGACGAATTGACACAAATTTCAAATGGTTTTCAACGGTCACTTTGCTGCATCTAGTGTAGACAGACTTTAGCTGTTGCGGCGCAGCGCGACAAATGACGCGACCTTCAGACTGACGGCTGAAGGTCTGGAATCCATGGCAGCTTTCATTGGCCAAGGCACGTGAGGCCGTTTGACCGACATGTTCGACCAAGTTCGTTTCGTTCATTGTCACGTTTCGGGGCATGGAAATGTCGCCACAATAACAGACCGGTGTGTAAAACTCTCGGACATATTTTAAAGATTCTATGCAGCAAACTTTTAATTTTTTCACATACTTTTGAAAATCCAGCATTCAGTTGATCCTGATAAGCGCTCATCATCACAGTTGTAAACACTTGTACACTTACTTGTTTCCCCTCTTCATCATCTCCACGCCAATCGCAACACGCTTTTATCAATGGGGCGCTTTTGAAAAGCGGTTGGTAATAATTTCTCTCTTCCGTTTTCTGATCCCAGCTGTAATGGCATTGTCGGGCCTTCGCAGATGCATATCTGCATGCTGGACTTGCCAGCACGCTGATAATGACTCATGTTGGCTCTGGTTTTCACAGCCGTGAATGTGAGAGAATGCTCACGTGGCTGTGGTCTGCTGTCACTGTTTCAGCCGGTGCCTACACACTATTCTCATTGAGGAGGTGGAACGTGGTGTGCACGATTAAAGTGTATCAAGACTTTCTAGTTTTTCTAATTTCTCATCCTATTTGTTTTTAGTTGACGGAGCCCTTGCAGGTCCAAACACCACCTGTTCCTCCTGGTCCATGTCAGCCGCCCAGGGTCGTAGGCAAACCCAAAGCGAGAGAGGTGCAGCTACGCTGGGGTAAGCGTTGCCTTTGTGTGTGTGTGTGTGTGTGTGTGTGTGTGTGTGTGCGCTTATTGTGTATAACGAATTAAGTATTTCTTAAAAGCATGTCATGTTTAGTATGTATTTAGGGTTAATTGGGGGTTGAAGGGTATATATACACAATCGTATAAAAGTTTGGGGTCATTCATTCAGATTATTTTTGTGTCTTGTCTTACCAAGGCTACTTTCATTTGATAAAAAATATAGTAAAAACAGTAATAATGTGAAATATTATTAAAATTTTAAATAACTTGAGTTTGAATATGTTTTAAAATGTAATTTAATCCTGTGATGGCAAAGCTGAATTATCAGCAGATGATCCTTCAGAAATCATTGTAATATTCTGATTTGCTGCTCAAGAAACATTGCTTATTATTATCAATATTGAAAATGGTTGTGCTGCTTAATATTTTTGTGGAAATGATACATACTTTTTTTAGGATGTTTATTTTTTCAGAAAGTTACTTTTGATCATTTTAAAGTGTCGTTGCTGAATAAAAGTGTTCATTTTCTTTTTTTTCTCTCTCTCATTGCATCTGTTAGCGCCCCCTCTGGTGGATGGAGGTAGTGCAGTGTCTTCGTACAGCGTAGAAATGTTCGCTCCCCAGGTGGACGAGGGCTGGGAAGTGTACCAGGGCTCTGAACTGGACTGCACAGTGGGAAGTTTACTGCCCGGCAGGACCTACGGCTTCCGGCTCAGAGCTGCCAATAAAGCTGGGGTGAGTGTAAGCTTTACAAATGTCACTGATATTATTTGTTTTTATAGTTGCTAATAATCTGTTCTTTTCAAAGAATGTGCCACATATAATTGACTAACAAATTGTTTTATATTTTATTGGTGTTCAACAGTACGGCCCTTTTTCGGAGCGGTCTGAGGTCACGACCGGTCCAGGGGCCCCTGAGGTGTGTCGGCCCCCTCATGTCACCTGTAAATCACCGACATGTGCTGTGATCAGCTGGGAGGTGAGAATATCCCATGATGCAAAGTATTCTTTTGTATCAAGGAAGTCTTTAGTAGCTTTGAGAGGACAGTGAATTTAGGGTGTGTTCACACTTGTAGTCGGTTCGATTGGTTCATTTGGTCCGGACCAAAAAGGAAAATGATACATTTGGTCCTGGTCTGCTTAGTGTTCACATTGGCATTTTTGACACCGAACCTAAAGACATAGTGATACGTTCACAACCTGATTGGTCGTCTTGAATGACATCTAGATTGTGACTGAACTTACCGAACCCCAAACAAAAGGTGCGTTAGACTTAAAGCGGCGCTGCGGGTGTATGATATCAAAGCACCCATTAACCGATCGGTCTGCTCAGCGCCGCTTTAAGTCGAACACACCTAATGCCGTCTGCTGGACTAAGTGCACTCATTCTTGCATGTACATATCATTTTATTTTCACCACCTGCAAACTCACAAGGAGCTCATAAAAGGCACTTTCCCTCATCGTTGCTCCACGTTTGCCCTCTGCTCATTTTGTTTTGTTTACACCGCGTCGTCAAATCATGTCACATAGCGTCGCATCTTGTCATTACTTCCTGTTTTTGGTCCGTGTTGCGTTCATATTTCATTCGAACCGCACCAGAGTTCGTTTGGAAGCGGGCCGAGACCCATCTTTTTAGCGGTCACTGTACGCTTGTTTGGTTCGCACCAGGGTTCGGAAGGCAGCGTTCACGCTTACTCAAACGAACCGCACTAACAGAGCAATCGCATCAGAGTTCGTTTTAATCGAACCGAACATGACAAGTGTGAACACACCCTTAGTGAATTTCTTCATTGTGAGTGAATTAGGGTTATTATTAACTAAAACCATATAAAAAAACTAAACCTATAAAAAACAAATTAAAATATTGCTTAAAATAAACATTTACTGAAAATAAATTAAAATAAATATAAAATAATAAAAAAAAAAATAATACAATTTTAAAAAATCAGAACTGAAATTGAAACAAATTACTAAAACTTTACAATTAAAATGTTTGCTTTGTTTATTTGTTTTGCTTCTTGTTTTGTCTTTCACATTTGATGTGTTCTGCATCCATGCAGGCCCCTCCCTGTAACGGAGCGGCAGTGTCAGAGTATCGCCTGGAGTGGGGGGCGGCAGAGGGCAGTATGCAGATGTGTTACACCGGTGCTGCACTGTCCCATGAGATGAAGGGTCTGCTGCCAGCCACCAACTACTTCTGCAGAGTACAGGTGAGAAACGCTCTCATACACACTTTTTCATCTGAATGTTTGAGCTGTTGGTGAGACTGGTTCTGCCATGTGAAACTAACCAGGAAATAGCTGTCTGCTGACTGATTATGCTTTTACTTCCTGTGAGCACAAATATATCAGCTTGTGTCATTCAAATGAGATATTGGGAAGATTGCCAACTTTACATTGTCAGTGCCACCCAGTGGCTGAGAGAGACAAATGCTTTTTTTTTTTTTTTTTATAATAGCTGTTTATTACTATATTGAGGGCTGTTATGCACTAATTGCTGGCTGAAATTTTGTTCAATTAAATTATTTTGGTACAATTTGTAATTGTAATAAAATGTTCCATCCCTGAATGTTTCTGGTGGGACAATTAGCAGATTTACAAAAGCAAAACAGTTCAAATTCACTTTTCTTAGGAACTGAATTTAAACTAAAATAATGTTGTCAATTATTAAATTCTGTGATTGGTGCTTTACATTTTTATTGTCCACTTTCTTTGTGCATTTCTACACTAGTCTCGTCCAATGTTTTACTTTTGTATTTGTTGTTGTTGTTTTTGTTTTTTTTTTGTGAAGAGTTATCATTATTGTTGGTCCTGTATTTTTATAGTCTTGATGATTCCTCTGCTTGTTCAGCTAGAATCAACCACACGATAGTTAAAGATTAAAGCTTTATTTGCCGTTCACGTCAGGCCTGTTTGAAATTTTAGTCTCTCACTGACTGTGTGTGTTTTGTGCCTCAGGCAGTGAATGTGGCCGGTGTGGGGCCCTTTAGCGACGCTGTGCTCTGCCAGACACCCTGCTCTGTGCCAGCGCCAGTCAGCAGCGTCCACACTCTCCGCGAGTCAGAGATGAGAGTGGAGGGCAGCTGGACCACAGAGAGGGGCGAGGACGAGGAGGACGAAGAGGCCAGACCTCTCCTTTACTCTTCATCCACCTGCCTGGGGCTACGCTGGGAGGCACCGTGTGATCACGGTTCAGAGATCATGTCATACCTGATCGATCTGGGTGAAAGACAACCCATCCTTACTGGGCCCGTAACCAAATACATCATCCAGAACCTGCACCCCGACACCACCTACAGGTACAATGACATCTCTGTTATAGAACAGTAGCAAAAGTAAACATACAGCGTGACCAGTGTAGTCCATTTCATGAACGTATGGCTCTTATGAACCTTATGAACTGACTTTTATAATTCCAAAAATGAGCATGGATCTGAAAGGAATGAATGTGTATGAACGAAAACTGAATCTTGTGCTTGTGTGTTTGAAGGATAAGGATCCAGGCTCTGAATAGTCTGGGAGCAGGACCCTTTAGTCACACCTTTAAACTGAAGACCAAGCCACTGCCACCCCTCCCTCCACGTCTGGAGTGCACCGCTTCCAGTCATCAGACCCTCAGGCTCAAGTGGGGTGATGGCCCGGCCAAGGCCCAACCCACTGATTCCCTACAGTACCATCTCCAAATGGAGGATAAAAATGGGAGGTTTGTGGATGCATTTTTTTGTGCTTTGCAGTATATTTTAAAACTGTGTCCTAACCAGGCATGACAGAAGATTCAAGTCATTTTCTCTGAAAGCGAAATGCTAAGATTAGCCAGATACACAAATATATACCGTTCAAAAGTTTGTAGTCGGTAAGTTCTATTTTATTTTATTTTTTAAGGAATTAATACTTCTGTTAGGCAAAGATGCATTAAACTGATCAAAAGTGACTTTTAAGCAAACACTTATAATGTTACGTAAGATTTATATATTTAAAAAAAAAAAATTGTTTTCTGAACTTTCTATTTATCAAAGAAACCTGAATAGTGGTTTCCACAAAACTATTAAGCAGCACAACGGTTTTAAACATTTATAATAATAATAAATGTTTCTTGAGCAGCAAATCAACATATTAGAATTTTTTCTGAACGATCATGTGACACTGAAGTCTGGAGTCTTGCTGCTGAAAATTCAGCTTTGCAATCACTGGAATAAATTACATTTTAAATATATTAAAATAGAAAACAGTTATTTTAAATTGTAATACTATTTCATAATATTACAGTTTTTTTTAATCTAATAAATGCAGCCTTGGTGAGCACAAAAGACTTCTTTCAAAAACATTTAAAAAATCGTACCAACCCCAAACTTTTAAAAGGTGGTATAGTACAAACCTGCAGTGTGCAAGGGATGTGTTCAACTTTATAAATGATTCAAATTAGAATTATTTTTACATTTTTATTTATTATCCATTAATCTGAAACTCACTCAGGTTTTGTGTGGGTCTGCCTTCAACTGTTATAAGTTTATCATATTGTGTATTTTGTGACTTTATTAAGGTCAACTCTATAACACTATCTCTGTCTCTCTGTTTTTGTCTCTTCCTAAAGGTTTATATCCTTGTATAAAGGACCCTGTCACACTCACAAAGTGCAGAGGCTAAATGAGTCTACCTCATACGCATTCCGCATCCAGGCCTTTAACGAGGCGGGCGAGGGGCCCTTCTCCACTGTTTACACCTTCACCACCCCCCGCTCCCCCCCTGCACCCCTAAAAGGTACAGCATCCCAACTGCAGCAGCCATACACTTGCCCCAAAAACTTCCATTGATTCATTTAGTTTGTTGAATTTTCAGTCTTCAGTGTCACATGATCCTTCAGAAATCAGTCTAATATGCTGATTTGCTTCAAGATTTCTTCTTATTATCAATGATGAAAACAGTTGTGATGCTTAATATTTTTGTGGAAACCATGATATGTGTTTTTTCAGGATACTTTGATAGAAAGTTCAAAAGACAGCACATTATTTGAAATAGATTTTTTTATAACTTTATAAATGTCTGTCACTTTTGATCAATTTATTGCAAAAAAAGACTTTGAATGGTAGCTTATGTATGATTTTAAATATAAATGATGTTTATACATTATGGAAGTATGGTAGTAAAATGCTAAAATGAAAACAGGCCTCATTTTTTAAAAATAGAAATATATATTTTTGGTCTTTATTGTTTTTATTTATATTAAACAGATGCGCTTGAACTTATATTATAAGGGAGCTAATTTATGTGCATAAATAACAATAATTGTGCAGCTCTGTTTATTGGCATGTTACAGCTGATGTTACATTAATTAATCAGTCTTGCACTCAAATAATTTAAAATTTATGCTCTTAGACAACAACATCCTAAAACACACATTTAATGTTCTGCAATTTGACCTTAAATATTTGTGCATGTAAGTTTAGTTCAGTTGTTCTCTTCATCTGTCTGTGTCTGTCTTCAGCTCCTCGTGTGGAGCGTGTGGACGAGTCGTGTGAGGTTTTATATTAAATAGATGTGCTTGAACTTATATTATAAGGGAGCTAATTTATGTGCATAAATAACAATAATTGTGCAGCTCTGTTTATTGGCATGTTACAGCTGATGTTACATTAATTAATCAGTCTTGCACTCAAATAATTTAAAATTTATGCTCTTAGACAACAACATCCTAAAACACACATTTAATGTTCTGCAATTTGACCTTAAATATTTGTGCATGTAAGTTTAGTTCAGTTGTTCTCTTCATCTGTCTGTGTCTGTCTTCAGCTCCTCGTGTGGAGCGTGTGGACGAGTCGTGTGAGGTGAGCTGGGAGACACTGCCACCTATGAAGGGAGATCCAGTCATCTACTGTTTGCAAAGCATGCAGGGAAATTCTGAGTTCAAACAGGTACCTACATCACACTATATCATCTGCATGTATGAGTTTAAGTAGAAAACAGCTCACCAAACACCAAAAACTGTCCATTTTAACCTCAGTGAAGCATCTCAATTTAAAGATTTCCATTCACCGTGAAGCAAAAGTGTCTCAAATGTAGGTTCGCGCTTGTAAGCTCATTACACCGAGGTCACGGCTCTCAGCAGGTGCGCTCAGCAGACAGCAGGTGGTTGGATGAATATTATTATAGCATAATGGCGATCCAGTGGTCATTACTTGAACGGTTTAGTGACAGTTATTACACTTAATGTTAGAGCCAAATCAAATCTATCCTCTCACATTTGTGCTGTGATTGTGCATGCTCTTTATTCTGACATCATTTTGTGACACAATGGCCTTCGTAACCTTTATCAAGACCTCCATAAATGTTAAGAAGCACCAAAGCACAAAATAAAATAAGTAGGGTTGGTGCTTAAAATGGAAATACTCATAAACTCATTATATATTCATACCCTTATGTTGTTCCAAACTTGCTTCTGAGGTCATATGATAGCTTTGTTTGAGAAACAGACCGTAAATACAAATCTCAGTTGCGCTGAATTTAAAACATTTAGACGTGTTATGATTGATTGTGAAATGCATTGGGAACTTTTGCATTGAGAACACGCATGTCAAACTTGCCACAAACTTAGGTAACACTGTATTTTGCTGTTACATGTTACTGTCCTTGTTAAATAGCCAGAAACTCACTGCACCTTGAAAAAAGTCCAAAATGAGGTGCGGAGACTGAAACATCCAAATAGACAAACATTCAAAAAGAAGCCTGCACGCTCAAATAAAGAATAAGAAACTTTCAATGTAAGATGAAAACCACTACTATAATGAAAAAGCAGCAAACGTTTCGGTCACGTGACACTTCGCAGTGCCTGGTTACAATACTTAGTGCAGGAGACTTGTAACACATTACATGTTCCTACTGCTGTAGAAGACTACGTGTGGAGTAAATTATGCATAATTATACGCAACTAACCCAAAACCAAACCCTAATCCTAACCCTGTAGTAAGTATATGTAGTTAATTAATATTACTCAGTACGTAATTGTATAACCATACTGTAACAATGTTATCTTAAACTAAAGTGTAACCCAAACCTGTGGCACCATATTTAAATGCATAATGTACAAAAACAGATGAGATTTGATTACTTACTTTCATTTATTTATTGGGTCTCACAAAATATATTGCTTCAGAAGACTTTGAATGCTACTTTTATGGTACATTTATAAAAAAATATAAAAAAAAATACTTGAACATTCTGCAAAACATCTCCTGTTTTCATCACAAAAAAACGCACTAATATGGATTTGGAAAGACATGAGGAATAAACTATGACAGAACTATGACAGAAATTTCATTTTAAACGTGGGTCCTAAGGGACCCACTGGAGAGCCGGGTAAAAACATCACCCAGCTGTCTGTAGTTGCAGTGTTGAATTCCTAATAGTCATTGTCACTAAATATATTATCGCTGCACTGTATGTCAGACGGGACCCGGCAGAACTGTTTGATTTAACTTAAAACCACTCTACCGTGAGCACCTCCGTGGGCTGCCTCTGAGTGACTGTAGATATGAGCGTAATGGAAGGGTAAGTCTCACTGGCTCTGATTCATCACCCCCTGCTGAGAGACGCTGTAGGAGACTGCAGGCATGATGGGAGGCTTGTGTATTTGTGTTGATGCAGCCCACACACACGTGCGGGACTTCGTATTCATATTCTCATGTTCTTCGTACATATTATTTCTCTGCTTAAACATTTGCATCCTTAAAATAGACTTCATCAGGTCCTTCCTTTTTAGTATAGTATCTCTATGAAATGAATGCAATGCTGAATATTGTTCTATACAAATTATGTTTATCTAGTCAAAAACTAGCAAATTTTAGGTCTAAGCAAACTATGATTGTTTTTCATTTGAATTGTGCGCAAAATGTGCAAAACAATATTTCTATTATATACACTATTAAATTAATCCATTGACAGTATGACAGTGAAATAAAGACATTTACGTTGTTCCAAAAAATATATATTTTAAATAAATGCTGTTTTTTTTTTTTACTTTGTTCATTAGACAATTACAAAAAAAAGTTTCATGGTTTCCACAAAAAGTAGCATAACTGTTTTCTACATTGATAATAATAAGAAATGTTTCTTGAGCACCAAATCAGCATATTAGAATGATTTCTAAAGCATCGTGTGACACTGAAGTAGTAGCTCCTGGAAACTCAGCTTTGGATTACAGGAATAAATTACATTTTGAAACATATAAAAAAAAAACATTTTAAATTGTAATAATATTTCTGTATTTATGATCAAATAAATGCAGCCTTGGTGAACACAAGACACTTCTTTTTTTCAAAACAAAAAAAAATAGTGCATATTTATATAATACTGCAATATATTTGTGTTTAGTTTTTAATTAAATATTTAATTGTCGTCTCTAATCCTTTCAGATCTACAAGGGCTCAGCCACTTCCTATCAGCTCCCAAACCTGAGCTCATCCACGGAGTACCGATTTCGCGTCTGCGCCATCCGGCAGTGCCAGGATGCCCCTGAAATCATCGGGCCCTACAGCTCCACTGTCATCATGCTCCCACCTCGTGTCGACACCCCCGGGGTCTCTGGCACCACGGGGTCCAAAGCAGCCGAGGCCCAGAAGCCAAAACGCAGCCTGACAGACGAACAGTTTTCTTTTCTCATCATCGCCCTCTTGGCCGTGACCTCCATCCTCATCGCGGTCGCCATCCAGTACTTCGTGATCGAATGAGCCTCGGCCCCGCATTACATCGTCAAAACAAGTTTTTGTTTGTTGATGTTTGTTTTTCTTGCTTTATTTTTCGTTCAGGCACCAGCGTCGAGGAGGGAAGGATTGAGAAAAGGAAGTTGTAGAATCACTTCACCCGATCTATTGTTCTATCTTTCCGCTACCCGCTGTCCCTTCCGCGCATGCTGTCGAAAGAACGCCGTTCCCTCCGTCGGACTCGGAGGGCGATTTATTGAAGGATCAGCAATGAAGCTTACTGCTCGTCGCATACTCATCTCGTACCACTTCATTTATTTGTGTAGCTGTAGTCTTTGTTATTTATACGTATCATTTCAGTTGTAAACTGTTGAGTGTAAGTTTCGTTCAAAGCTAGCTTGGTGGTTGCGTCGCTCACCGGTTTGCTATCTTGGGCCTGGGACTTGAGGGCCAGTGACTACACCGTCGACGAGGGGGTACGGGCGAGCAGAAGGCCTGCCGGGGGTTCTGAGCGAAGTCTACGAGTCCACAACTTAAAAAAGGCGAGGCGAGACTGATACCGCTCAAACTGGCGAACGTTGATTTAGCACTTTCCTCGGAACTTTTTTTGATGTTCAGAATGTGTAAAGGATGCAAAAATAACTAGAGAAATGCTATTATATTTTTGTACAGTATGATACAAGGACCTGAGATTCTGGCTTAGTATGGGGGAGTAAGACTATGACTATGAATACCAAACTAACTCAGCTTAATAGTTATTTTTACTATCATGTACGTATACTGTAGCTTGTTTTTACAATCAAGCAGCTGCTTTGCTCCAAAATATTGTCGTTCAGCACAATGTATGCTTCTCGGAAACCTTTCCTTCAGTCGTTACCTTTGCACCTTAGTGAGAAGAGAAAAAAATAAACTTATCGAATGCGTCTTGATCTTGTGATGCGTTTTATGGGACATGTTCTCCAGTTGTGCAAAAGCCCTCAATGTGTTTTGGCTGTTTTTAAAAATGTAGTACCACGAAATTTGTTCTTGAAATGGTTTATTCAGCCAATAATCATGATTTCCAAAAGTCATATTATTTTTCTAAATTTCTCTATTGTTATTATTATTTTTTTTTGTTTTAGAAACCAAATTATCACATTGTGTTAACCTTTACTTTTAGCAATATTACTTTTTGATGTAATCTTGAGAGTACTGAATACAGGACTAAATATTAATTTTCAGATATCTTTTTTCTTGTTTAAATCACACATTTAAACTTTATTTTTATATGGAAATAAAACCTTTAAGTTAACTCTGTCCAGCAGAGAAATTAAGAAAAGTGCAAGAAATGAAATGCAAACAGCAGTAATGACTTGTGTTAATCCTACATGTACTTCCTGTGAATCGAAATGTTTGCCTTTTTCTCTGTGTTAAAGTCTTGTGACTGTCAGCGCTGTGACAGCAGCATGATGGTCTGGTCGTAGGGTTTTGTGTCGTGCTTTGGTTATGGGCATATGAGTGCTGTCAACAACTGTTAACAACTACAAGTAACTTGCAAGAAGTCTTGGATGAAAATGAATTACATGATTTGGTCTAATAGATATACTGCAGATGTCTTCTGTTTGTCATAGAAGGGGGAAAAAACTCAAATTCCTATTTTTGATAGTGATAAAATGTCATTTGCGAAGTGTGCCATCTCCCCACCATGGTAGGTGTTTGGTTCTTGGGAGAAAGAAAAACTACAAAAAAATCAATAAAATATGCACAAAAAAAAGAGACCATTTTTATGTAATTTTAATGTTTGCAGTTACCTCATACACCGTACATTCCAAAACAAAAATTTGTTATAGTATACATACTATCAGACATACCACTTTAAAATGTTCTTTATCAGATAGGAAATGTATAATCAAATATATGTATCTAAAGTGTGTCTGTATAGTTATGATATCTACAGACGGATCCATGCACAATAAAAGATTTATAATTCTTAATTGTCGTCTTTTACTGCATGTTGCCATATATGTAGATTCATATCACTATGCTAATGTTTTTGTATGTAAAAAAAAAAACACAGTATATGAATATATTTTTCAGTCAAGAATTATTGGTTTATTGGTTTTTAATTTAAATTTCTACCCCGGAAGAAAATCTAATTAATATAATAATTCCTAAGACATTGTTTGTTTTTGTTTTTTTTCAATGAAACTGGTTAAACTGGTTTTTCAGTGAAACTGGTAAAAACATGTTTTCAGATTTTGTGTTGATGGTAAGAGATCCAGACTTCCTGACTAGACTGTGCACTAACCAAAAGCTCATTCCTCCTGCCCGGTTCAATTTCACCCACAAAGAGCAAGCCACTCCAGACAGATTGTCTATTAAATTAGATTATTCTTCAGCACCTGAATCAAGTGTTAAAGCATATTACAAATACATTAAGATGATCTAAATGTATTTCTCTGTAATGTTTCAAAACAGATTTGAAGTGAACACAATGCACCTGCCACACCAGGAGCTTCTTTGTGCATCAACATACAGTTTGAATTAAGATTGTTAGACATTGCCAATGTTAATATTAATTAACTGTTTGTAAGAAGAAAGAAAAACACAGTTAGGTCATACCTTTTATTCAGTTTATCTTTTGAACTGAAAAAAAAAAACATGCTTGTTGAAATTTAAGTATTTCTATAAAAGGGTACATTAGACTTTTTGAGAGATGCTTGGGTCACAGCTCTCATGTTTCTTCATTAATTAGGTTTTCATTTTAGATGTTGATTTGACAAAATGACATCACCTTAACCAAATTAGTGAAATTACTCAAAATAAATATTTGAAAAAATATTAAATATAATTTATTACAAATCTTTAATAATATTTAGATACGATTATATAGCTTATATATTAGCTTTAGTAATTCTGTTTGTTTTTTGACGTGTCTGTATATAGGTTTAAAGTTTTTTTTATATTTTATTTTATTTCAAGTAACGGTTTCCTATGTTTTAGTTAAACTGTAATAGCCATGCTTTATGCTTTCTTAATTATAATTCTAAGAGAATTCCTAATATGATTTTGATTTAAAGATTGGAATTTATTTCATTGGATAAAATGTAATAAATACTGATATGTAAATAATGTAATTCATATTAGTAGACAGTCAAGGATCAAGAGCTGTTCATTTAAATGCACACATTGAAAGCCAAAGCCCCACCTCTCACCTCTATCCCTATCTGTCTACTGTCTCCACCTCTTGTGATCTCACTATTTAATTAAGAACGGGACTAAGTGATATTCTGCACGCACACCGTCGGGTAGAGGTGATGCTCTCATCTCCTGCAGCAGAGCACCAGATACAACGTCCACAGGTCTCGTCTTTTTCATCTCCTGTTCAAACGCACCACCTCTTTGGTTCCACCTTCCCTGATGCTGAAAAGGACTTTCAGCGAAGGAGTCGCATTAGAGTTCTTCTTTCTCAACCTCTTTTAAAGGTCTTTTGTACACTTACCACAATATCTTAGACCTTACCAAGAGGCACCTGCAGACTTGCATCAATATGGAGGACCACCATTGCAGAGACTCTCTCTTCCCAACCTCCACCCTCATTCCTGTCACCACCATTTGCATCCTGCTCTTCATCATCGGGATAACCGGCAACACCATGACCATCCTCATTATCAACCGCTTCAAGGACATGAAGACCACCACCAACCTGTATCTCTCCAGCATGGCCATCTCAGACCTGGTCATCTTCCTCAGCCTCCCCTTCGACCTCTACCGCCTCTGGAAGTACGTACCCTGGGTCTTTGGGGAGCTGGTGTGCCGTCTATCACACTACATCAATGAAGGATGCACCAACGCCACCATTCTTCACATCACAGTGCTCAGCATGGAGCGTTACCTGGCCATCTGCTTCCCTTTCAAAGCCAAGGCTGCCATCACCAAGAGAAGGGTCAAGTATGTCATTCTGGCTCTGTGGGGCTTCGCCCTTCTGTCTGCTGCACCAGTGTTCTTCCTGATGGGCGTGGAGTACGAGAACGAGACGATGCCTGACCCGGCCACTCGGCAGTGCAAGCACACACGCTATGCCATCGAATCGGGGCTGCTGCACACCACTATCTGGGTGTCGACCGCCTACTTCTTCTGCCCCATGTTTTGCCTGCTCTTTCTGTATGGATCCATCGGTCGAAAGTTGTGGAAGAGTCGTCATGAGCTTCATGGGCCCAATGCAGCAGCCAGACAGAAGGTTAACAGGCAAACCGTCAAGATTCTGGGTGAGTGGGTCTTGGGAAGTGTTAAGGCTGGAATACACTACGTGACTTTTAACATCAGAACAGATTTTGAAACACTAGGCATCATATATTTGCAGACTTTGAATATGGTTACAGTGGAAAAACTGGGCATCATACACTAAACCAGGAGTGTCCAGTCCTGTTCCTGGAGGGCCACTGTCCTGCAAAGTTTAGCTGCAACCCCAATTAAACAAACCTGAACAAGCTAATCAAGGTCTTACTAGGCACAATAAAAACTTCCGGGCAGGTGTGTTGAGGCAAGCTGGAGGACAGTGGCCCTCCAGGACCGAGTTTAGACACCCCTGCACTAAACGAATGAGAATCACACAAAAGACTTTCAAGTCATTCTAAACTCGTAAAACTTGAGTAGAAACATAAACGTTGTTGCTAGGAAGCAGCATGACAATTGAAAACAACATGTTCTAAAATCGGCTCAAAATATCAGATATGTTTAAAATCCTTCGACTGTATGGAATCTTGAGTTTGAAGCTAAAAAAAAAACAGAGTCTGTGCCCCTCATACACTACGTGATTTTCTGTGAAATCTGTCAACTCCAACCGCCCAAAATCTGGCAGACTGTCTCAGACTTTAGGCAACTAACATCGACTCATCCAGAATGCAAATCAGAGTAAAAATCTAAGCTTAAGTCATGTAGTGTATTTCAGCCTTTAGGTAACAGCCATAGACAGTTGTGTTACAGTTTCGAGATCTGGACAAGCCCCTTATGCCAAGTATCAAATCTTGTAGTGTAAACTGTCATGGAATATTTGTGCTTGAAAAGATGTTGTGACAAGAAAGAGTCTCAAATCTCTAATCATGAGAGATTTTGTGATCAAGTGTGATTACTTCAGTTCATGCTAACGATTTTTCTCTGGCTGATCATTAAATGGGTGAAAAAAACTAAAACCATATAACTTAAACTGAAGAAGAGACCCGAGCAATTTTTAGAGATTAGAATGTCATCAGGCTTAAAGGTAGTCTCTTTTGACTTTAAGTGAGCATCCACAACACCCCTAGCCAATGTTGCAATGCTAAAAGCATATAGAACATTTTAACAATGCTGTAGTCAAGACCAGCTCATCCGATACTGAGTCCAGGCCAAGACCTGAGTTTGTTGAGTCAAACTTAAGCCGAGACCTGAAGAGGGTCTATATCATTTTGAAAGTACAAATATTCTTTCCTTTGGCATGATGAAGGCTAGTTTTACATCGTCACTTAAACCTCTGCAGCGCACACCAGTGTGTTCCGGTCTAGAGACACAATAACACAAAGCAGATCATATGTGTGAGTCGGCACAGACCACAAAACATATTAAAATATGGTCTTGGACTCGAAACAGACTTGAGTCCAATACGGCACCCTAGCCTCAAGGTGGCCTGCAAGAGGATAGCTGTAACTCTTTAAGTTATATATGTTTGCACTGTTCATCTCAAACTTTGATATGCTATCCAATGTCTATATGTTACAAATTAAAGTTGTTTTGAAATCTACAACTTATTACAAATAATGTTAAGTGCAAAGAATGTTGTTGTTACGATCTACCCCACTACCAATGTGAACTGTAGCAATCATGTAACTCCATTTCTACTTCTAACTATTGAATAAATACATAAAGGCCCGGTTTCATAGACAGGGCTTAGCCTAAACCAGGATTAAGCCATAGTTCAATTAGGACATTTAAGTAATTTTTATAAACGTGCCTTAGAAAAAGCATTGCTGGTGTGCATCTTGAGACAAAACAAAGGCACTGATATATTTTAAGATCAGTCAGTGCAAGTTTCTTTCATTTTAAACAGCTCAGATTTACATTTTAGTCTAGGACTAGGCTTAAGCCTTGTCTGCGAAACCGGGGGAAAGTGAAATAGATCAAATAAATCTTGATTGTATTCCCTTAAAACAGTTTTTATCTGTTCAAATTATTTGTATTTGTAGACAAAGCTCTTTCTGTTCTCTCAGGAGGATGTGAATAATTGCAATTTCATCCCTGTTGATTATTTCTAAGGGGTAAAACATTGCCCATTCTTCCGCATTTAAAGTTACTAGGGTGAGACATGAATATTGCCTTATCTAAATTAGTACCAGTAGAAACGTGTTTGCAATGTAAATGAAAGGTGTCAAATTGTGAGAGAAGTAGTTGACAGATCTTGCAAATACGTAACATCTTGTCTATTCATCAATCATGTTCATTTATGTTTGATTAGCAAATGTGGCTGTTTTGTTTATTAGAAGCCTTCATAAATCAGTCTAAGTACACAAACACCCGGACAAATCCCATTATTCTATTAACCCCATGTCCTGTCCCCCTTTCTTCTCCTAGCTGTTGTTGTGTTGGTCTTTGCCATCTGCTGGCTGCCTTACCACATCGGTCGGTTCCTCTTCACACACGTGGATGACTACCACACCGCCCGCCTCAGTCAGAACTTCAACGTGGCCTCCATGGTGCTCTTCTACCTGAGTGCCTCAATTAACCCCGTCCTCTACAACGTCATGTCCAACAAGTACCGCTCTGCCGTCAAACGCCTCTTCCTGTTGCCCCACAGGCGCCAACACGGACCCAACCGGAGACATATCTCGACCCGTGATGACATTACCATGTGCACAGAGATGTTCAATGGGGTGAAAGAGACCATGATGACAGAGGAGGGCTTACGGTAACATCATCCTGGCTGAAGAGGAGCACAGGAACCTGGGAGAAGTGAAGAAGCTGTGGGCTTATTGGATAAGAACTGGAATAATTGGTGTGACGGAAATGAAAAATGAGATTGGAATTGACTCACATTATGAGTGGAAGCAGCTTGTGACAGTGACTGTGGCGGGGGAAATGACTCATAAATGAAGGGTTTCACACGAATGCATAATATCACAGTTATTACACTGTAATGATTGATCACTGTAGTGATAATCATGTTGTCTAAATCAATAACGTAAAATAGGTTTTATATATAACTACTTCGTCAATGGAAATATTGTGACTAGAATGATACTACTATTATTTGTTTTTATATTTGTTATTTGTATTTTATGTACTTGTGTGAAATTATTATGTTTTGCTCTGTTGGATATCATTTGCTTGCACATACTCATCAATTATAGTATTAATACAGTATGTGTATTGTATTGTAATAATTTAAAAAAAAACTGTAATATTAGCGTAATAGTATTGTGTAATCATTATAATATAGTGTATTATGTATTATATATATTATCACGTAATCATTATGATATAGTGTATTATAATCATTAAATAATATAATATTATTATTTTATAGATGGAAAGTAGTTTACTAGAATGATTAGATTTTGACATTTTCATAATATTATTTGCTATTATATTTGTTATTTGTATTTTATGTACTTGTGTCAAATGATTCTGTTTTGCTCTGTTGGATGTCATTTCCTTTGCACATACTCGTATCAATTATAGTATTAATACAGTATGTTTATTGTATTGTAATAATGAAAAAAAATATGTATTAGTATAATAGTATTGTGTAATCATTATAATATAGTGTATTATAGGCTATATAATATAATATTATTTAATAGATGGAAAGTAATTTATTTTCTGTGGCTTTTGAAACTACATTGAAACTAAGATATTGAATGATATTTTTCAGCAGTAATCTAAATACAAAAAGTGAACAAAAAAAATAATAATTTAGTTAGACACTAATACTAATAAAGTGTTAACCCTGTTTCATTTGTTGTGCTGTTTAAACTTTTCTTTCTAATTTTTTATATTTTAATCTCTTTTTTTTATGTATTTTTAGTCTTTTTGTGAGTTTATATTTTTTATTTATGTATTTACTTGTCTTATTATTTTTTTTTTACCTTAAGTCTAGCTCAAAGTTACACCCTTTATTTTAAGCCCCACAAAATATGACATTTTATTTTAATTCAGAAATTTAAAAGAATGTATTGAAAAGATATGTATTGAAATCATTTTTGCATGAATTGCATTAGTAATTTTGACTTAACCTCTCCACTGTCTTCAAGAAATTAGCTGAACAATAGCAGTGCATTTCCAGTGGGGGGAGCCACTATCTTATATGATTAACTAAAGAAAAAAGAAAAGAAAATTGCGTACCTTTTGGGAGTTGAGAGCAATATTTTGTATTCATAGAATAACAAGTATTTAATTGAATCAAATTAAATAAAATATTTAATTAAATATATCTAATAACAATAATTTAATTCATATTTCATTTTTTTAACAGTTCATGGATTCAAATAAAAAAGAAAAATTAATGAATACCAGACAAGATTTGCATGAAATTATCTTACAATATTTGGTTTATAATGATTTGTAGCGTTTTCATACACATTCAAATCCCAGTAACTATGAAACCTTGTTTGTAGTTTAGGTCTTCTAGCTTTATTTAAATTTGTAGAATTGTTCAATATTTAAATATTGTTCAATATTTGAACATGCATGCTGTAAGTATATATCTATCAGTCTGTGAGAACAGTATTTAAATAGTCCAGCTGTTTTACTGCCTGCATGTATTTTAATGATACAATACTGTGTGAACTGGTGTGAGATCATTAATACAGGTTTGTTCCCACATGACTGAACTATCTGGTTAGATGTCAGGAAAGAAGGGTCACAGAAAGCATTGAGACATTATTTCCTCCGTCAGACAACCATGCACTATTATCAGGACTCAGCCTTGTTGTGTTCCCCTTTGGCCAGCCTCTTGACAGAGAGCTTGTTTGCTCTGAGCTAATCTCAAACTGGTATAAAAAAAGGTATAAAAAAAGAGGAGCAACATATTATCACAACATAGCCTCGAAAGAAAGGGAACTCTGGATTTGGGTCACCTTGTAATTGAACTAGCCACTCAATGCTATTCTTGACAAACAGATTCTAGCAGACAAATTATTGTTCATTATAAAACTGATAATTCCGGTCTTTGATTATGATTGGTTGAGCTGCGTCCGAAGCTGTTGTATATTATTCTAGAAACATACACCTGTGACCTCATTACATCAGTATTATTTCGCCACTGCGTATGTATGTTGGCAACCATTCTACTGTATTACTGTGCCAAAAAAAATATCAGATTTTTGTGGTGAATTTTGACTTCTTGTGTGGGCTAAGAGCAAGCACGTTTTATAAAAGCAATAATCTCCACACCGTGTAGAGCCTAACACCCCTTAGCTGTTCTCAATTCACTGTAAACCACAGCTTGTTGGGGCTTATTGTTTTAGTACTTTAGTATCTGACAGCCTACACATAAGGTATGTTTACATGCACCATTTTTATCCAATCCAATTTCAGATTTTGAAAGATCTGTTTGTATTAACCCTAAACGTTGCAGTCTGATTGACAAATTTGTTTACATATGCATTACGTTGTTTTTTTTTGGTAACACTTTAGTATAGGGACCAGTTCTCACTATTGACTAGTTGCTTATTAGCATGCCTATTATTAACATATAGGAGTTTATTGAGTCAAAAATCATAGTTAATGGTTTGTTAATAGCGAGGATTGGACCTTAAAATAAAGTGTGACCTTTTTTTTATGTGTAAAACCATTAAATTAGTTTAAACTAAAATGACAGGGAGGATAGGATCCAAATGCAGTGATTTTTTAATTAAAATAAAACAACAAAAGTAAATCCCTGTTACAAAAAAAGAGATTCTAAACACAAGATAAACAGGATTAATATTCAATAAGGACAACATCAGACAAAGACCATTGGTGCATCTGAAATCTTGTACTGAGTAGGGACTACATTTGAATTTGAACTTTTCTTCACGAAAAAAAGTAGGTTCTATCTATATAGTATGAATATGGATATGAAGGAAATTCGGAAATACTACACCCACCATGTCGTTATTATCATGTGACTTGCCAGCGTCAGTTGCGTTGCTTCACTTCCATTTATAAATTCTCTCCCTTGACCTCATGGGATAGTACAGTGTCAGTAGGATAATAGTAGGTCATCCGGGTACTTTTTGCCTTCTGTTTTTTGAATACAATAAATTCAGATATGCGTCTCTTTTTTGCATACTATTTAGTAGGAAGTATTAAATTTCAGATGCAGCGCAACCATTCGTTATAAATGAATTAACAGGGGCTTGAAAAAGGGACAGGTGAAAGTAATTATTTTCTATGGAAACTAATGAGGGTAACTATGAAAACTAGCAAGGTAGGCAATGAAACATACTCGGTTACTAACGTAACCTCGGTTCCCTGAGATACAGGAACAAGTATTGCGTCTGCTTAAGACGCTATGGGGAAAACTCAATTTTCTCAGAATACTGAAGCCTTTTCAATAATGCAGTGTAACTGCACGGCCATTGGTTCGTGCAGTGAATTAAAAAACGAACCAATGGCTCGGCAGCGGAGCTGCACGAGCCTATGGCAATGAAGCCCGCCAGAGCCCGCCAGAATGGGCGGGGCATCTAGCTATATAAGTGGGCACTTCGCCATAGGATCCTCAGGTTACTTCGACTGAAGCGACGACTGAGTCGTGCAGCTACATAGCACGGCCAGCAACGCAGTACTCATTCCCGTATCTCAGGGAACCGAGGTTACGTTAGTAACCGTGTATGTTCCCTATCGATACTTCACTCGTACTGCGTCTGCTTAAGACGCTATGGGGAACCAGTACAATCCCGCCGTGCTATGCTAGAGGAAAGACTAATACTTAAACTTGCCTTGAGCACCAATTGGGGCCCAGAGGGACCAAGTATTTTGCAGGGAAGCCCCGCAGGAGGCAATAGAGCCAAACTCGCAGAGGTCGGCCCAGCGCTGAGTAATCGTTCCAAGAGATATTGTATAGCCTCGGAACCCAGAGGGGGCCAAGAGCATATAGTGAAGAAGGCAAATGCCTGAAGCACTGGTTTTGCCATATGCCAGACTAAGTCCGTTTAAGCAGAAAGGACCCGAGCCTGTAAGGCCGGAACATCCAGATTATAAAACCTGGTAAATGTGGACGGCGAGGCCCAGCCGGCCACCTCACAAATTTCTGCAATGGACACACCACTAGACCAAGCCCAAGAAGAGGCAACGCCTCTTGTTGACTGGGCTTTTACTCCCATGGGGCATTGTAGGCCCAAAGAAGAGTACGCTAGCGTGATAGCGTCGATTATCCATTTGGAAAATCTCCGCTTCGTGACCGGAGACACTTTGGTGCGGTCACCGAAGCATACAAAAAGCTGTTCTGACTGCCTGAATGGGGCGGAACACTCAATATATATTCTCAATGCCCTGACGGGGCAGAGTAAATTCAGCTCTTGGTCCTGCTCCGAAGGAGGAAGCACCAAAAGAGCTAATACCTGTGCTCTGAACGGAGTCGAGAGCGCTTTAGGTACATAACCATGCCTCGGCTTCAGGATGACCTTGGAGTCGTTGTGCCCGAATTTGAGGCAGGTGGGGCTCAACGAGAGCGCCTGCAGATCTCCCATATGCTTTACCAATGCTAACGCCAGTAGCAGAGCAGTTTTTGGCGTCAGGGGACGAAGGTCAATGGACTGTAGCAGCTCGAAGGGAGGGCTCTTCACAGCCCTCAACACCGTGGCAGGTCCCATGTAGGGATGATGATAGGGCGAGGTGGGTTGGGCATCCTAGACCCCTTCAAAAAACAAATGACTAGGTTGTTTCTGCCCACCGACTGGCCAGCTATAGAAGCGTGTGAGGCTGCTATGGCTGCTACATAGACCTTGAGAGTGGAGG